ATTTTCCCCTGCAGTGCATTCGGGTTTATTTACCCCAACAAATGAGATGTCTCTTAACCACCACTCTAAATCTTTTCTTTGCGTGTGACCCTTGCTTCTACTAAGCATCGGCCGTGTACTTTACTTACTCGATCAAGGATTCACGTTACAGTCACTCAAGAACCGATCTTCCCGATTCAGATGCTTTCTCCAATAGCTTTTGTACTTTGGGATTCCCAGCTCAAGCCACGGCTTCATGTTCCCGTTGTAGTGCAAGATTGCTGCGTTTTTTATGCTTTGGGTATCGATATAGAAGTCATAACCAAGTCCCGATAGAGCCCATTTGTCGTCGAGAGCATAAACTTTGTCTTGAAACGTAAGCAAGCTTGCTTGCAATGCAATTGCTTCTCGCGACTCATCTCCACCACTCATCTGATACACACAAAATAAGAAAGTCATCATCGCTCATAAACATACAGAATCAACCCAATTTCTCTTTTAGGGTTTTTCGGAAACTGACCTCTTTATAAAATTTCTGGTAGGTTTCTGAAACACCCAATTCCCTCCATCTAGCAAGATCAATTACATTCAATCCAGACATCCAGAGACAGGCATTGACATCAAAACTCCCTCTCTTGAGACCCTTTAGCTGACCCAATCTCACGGAGCAGGACTTCACAGCACCATTCACTTTCCCTTCCATGTTAATGTCCCAAAGGGAAGCTAAGTCTCGCTGGACTACAACGTCATCATCCAGAATCACAACCTTCTCCAAATTGTGAAATAATTTTGGAAGAAGATAGTGAGATTGAGAGAAAAGGGATAAGTAGTGTGTTCTATTCTGTTGTGACGCCAATTGGTCACCACCGGGGAAGGAGACACGGAACTCCGCAGGCAGAGACAGTTTCATATCAGGATTGTCCACCTCGAGTTTTTCAATGTTCAATACCTGAACGGCTGCTTGTTTGCAGGGATTCCTGATAAACCATTGTTTCATTGCAAAGTAATTCTGCTCGTCTGTCAGTACATGGAAGACAAAGTTTTTACTTTCCTGAAACATGAACAACCAACCAATAATTAGAAATGATGGTTCTATGACTGCACGAAAAATATGAAGTAAAGAATAATGGATTTAATTCATACCCTTGCGTGTAGAACCGTTGAGTTGATCACAACAGACGATGCAAGTATATTGTCGGAGATGATAACAAAGTGAAGCAATGAGGGATCTGAAAATTTCTCACTATCATCATTATCAAGTGAAGCTGACTTGAAATATTCCACGGTTAGTCTCATTGACAAGCAATGAAGACTCTTAGGCATCGTCTGTACTGCAAGCTGGTAGAGGAACACACTCTGTTTCATGTGGAAACTAGCTTCATCCTCAGTCAAATCCAGAATCTGTCTCAATTTCTTGTCAACATTGTTACAATCGACCGGAAAAGATTTTGCCTTTGAAATTACAGCTTCCATCTTCTGAAACTTCTTATCAACCCTGACAGAACAATGGAAAGAGATACACAATAAGTACGATTAAAGGAAATTAGCAGAGGATTCTACACATAAAAGCTTCTACGGAAAGGGAAGAAACAATATCAATGGCATCTGTCCTACTATCTAGTCTATTAGTTTATGAATTCTAATGTTGGTTTAAGATTCAAAGTAGAAGTAATTCCCATTGAATAAGTAAGAGAGAATATAATTAAGATTTTCCATAACATAAAACGTCTGAAAGCATGTAAACCGTTAGAAAACAGGATGTCCAGATAAGGTTAAGTGCAAACTACGAGAGATTTATGTGACTAGCATCCAACAAGATCTTTCCAACTATGGGACTAACTTTCAGTAAAGATCCTACTGATAGTAAACCTGCTTAAGCCCAAACTGGTAAAGAACTTACTGTGGTGGAAGGTCAGCATCTGCTGAACTTTCACTAAGAATACGCTCAAACTCTTGGATATTCTGTTTCATATCCCGAGTCAACTTGGTTTGAGAAGGCATTTTAGCAATACTAGGATAGTATGCCCTAGCCACAAATAGCAGGTCCTTCATGTGCTTCACCTTAGCATCTTTCATCGGTTCCTTATTTTCCTCTCTCCAGAGGCAGTAGCTCCCATATTTCACTTCACAAGTTCTCCAAGTTTCATCAGCATTTACAACTGCCCCCTGAACACCTTTATTTGAGGCTTCGGTTTTTGTTTTCTGTTCACAGAATAAGGTTAACTTTAGAGAATCGGTGAGATATACAAAATTGACTATGACAAAAACCACTTAAATCATTTGTACATATGCAGGGCTTGGGTTGGCTACAACAGTTACAACACTTGGGGGCACTGGTAATCCTGCAGATTAATCGGAGGGACCAGATGTAGAGTTGCAGATCAGAATCAAAATAAAATAATTAGAGAGGAATTTCAAGAAAGTGGAACTTGTAAAGCAAACCTTTTTTTTTAGAATCACTGCCGCTTGTCCCATTCATATCTCTGGAACCCACGTTTACGTCGCTTTTCTAGCATGTGAAACAAGAAAAGAAAAATTGTTCGTATAAAAGTTGTTCCAAACAATTTAACCATCTCACCTAAGGAACCAATTCTTTACCTCGCCCAAGACATGTTATGATACATGAAGCAACATAATTCATGAGTGTATTCAACTTTTCAGTCTCATGACATAGTGACATTAAAAAATTCACTCATTTATCTAAATTTTATACCCCTTAAGCAAACATCACACAAAAGATACAACAAGTGATTAACAATAGCCTCTTGACCTCTAGTCTATTTGTTTGGCCAGAAAAGTTTTCAGATTCACTGGTTAATCATGTGGCAATCTTACATAGTTTCCATAAAACAAACAGGAAAATAATTCTTTTTCTTTCTAATGTTAGCATTCACATCCTGCCTGTATTGTGGCTGTGTGGCAAACCTGATAAGCTGATACAAACTACAAAGCCTATAGTTACATCATTGGAAGGACAGGACAAGATTAGAAACATTAACACCAAGAATTATCACAGAACACATTCTTCAATAGTAGAAAACTAAACATATATAGACCAGATCTGAAACCTGTGTGTCAAGTTGAGAGCAGTGAGTCCAACAATCATTCTACCAGTTACAAGAAAATATCTAAATTTGTGTCTAAAACAACTAATCCATCTCCATCAGTGAAACCCCCACACAGTACATAAACAGAACAAGCCTAATGCGTTAAAAAAACTACACTGAAACAAGTGAGAACCCAAAACAGATATAATTCAAAAAAACCAACCTTTGGAAGCACTGGATTGATCTTTTGAAGAACCTCCTCGACTCGGTCAGATAGATCTCTCTACAAATAGCAAGGAAAGAAGATGAAAAAAAAGCAGCAAAAACGATTTGGTATAAAAATGGGAATCGAATTTACACAATACCTGAGCATGTTTTGTAGCATTGATTCTGCTTAAGCTCTCGAACTGATTCCAAAGAAACAAAAAAAGCATCAGAACAAAAATCAAAACATTACTCATTACCAACAAAAAAAAAAAAACTGAATGCTTACAGGAGAAGTTGGTTGAACAGTGACAAATCCTG